CCCCCATTTTCTTGCCCTAGAGTGGTCTTGTGCTGTTTAGTGCTTGAGGGGAAAAAAACTATTCAAAAATCACAGCCAGACTTGGATGGCACACTTTTCTGACCCTGTCTATACTAGGAATTGCTTCAAGTAGTAGAGACTGTGGTTTTCCTCCAAAGCTCCCGATTCTGTCTATTCTTTCCACACGTGACAGCTCCATCTGCCATGACACTTTTGTTTAGTGACAGCCCTTCAGCTCTTTCATTCACATTATCACCCTGCTACTGAATTCACATCACAAACTGAGAGTGGGTTAAAGACACAAAGGGCTCAGGGGTTCGAAAATCATTATCCACCTGGGGCAACCCTTAAGTACTGAGAACATGGATACAAGGTCAGATCTTGGAATTCAAAGAATTATTTCTTCGTTGTCTTTTCATAGTACGCTACTCAGGTTCTTTCTGCAGAGCTGATTAGAGAATGGTGTAGATTTTATCTGCCTTCTACCTTTGTGTCGTGAGATGCTCTTGCATATGGCCCAGTCTTATCTTTGCATTGCCATGAACTTGGCTTTGTTAGCCCAAGATAAGCCCAAGAAATAGGCAACTAAAAGGGACCAGGGTTATCTGTCGTGTCATCTAATTCTCTTCCTGGCTTTTTCAGTCCCTTGACTCCTCTAAGATTGTAGTGATTGAGCTTGAACTTACACCTCTCTTTAAGAGACTAGAATCTTCCCCTTGATATCCACGCTCATGGCTTTTACCTTCTAGTTGATTACTTTTTATTTCTTTCTTTTCCTGAAAAACTAAAGGAAGGAGGAAATAAATTAGGAAAGGAATGAAAGAGAACAATTGAAAGAAAGGGAGAAAGGAGGGAGTTGGGAAGGAAAAGACTGTGGAGAGTTCAAATTTGATACTGTCACGTGTCAGTAACACAGGACGTGAAATCAGCTATGAAATGTATGGGGCTGGCCTGAAGCTGAGAAGAGGTTGAACCATGCCTAAAACCTGGGATCTTCTCATCCTGAGAGCAGCAGGAGTTTGGCTGTTCCCCTGCTTTTCTTCAGCAACAACAGATCCCAGCAGATAGGTTTCCCCAGCCCAGAAGTGCCCCAGTGCATGTAGCAGCTGATACGTGTTTCCCAGGCTACAAGGCCTGTTTGCTGTTTATCTAACGACTGAAACATCTCAGGCTGGACTTCCTTTATTTTCCATATGACCTTCTAAGTTTCCTTCCCCTGGCCCCTGATCCTCCCAAGTATGCAAATGAAGCACCTTGATGTTCTTGCCTGCACCAATAACAGAACACCACATGGATCCAACCAGCCATTCTTGGGGTGTAGCTATCCCCTGTCCCCTCTGACAGTCTGCCAGGTCTTCTTTCTTGTCTACTACTCACCACCACTCAGGATCATCCTTTGGCCCTGGCTTTGCTTGGCCACGCTTCCAGCCTCTCTCCCAGTTGAGCTAGTGTGCAATAGTCTGACCATTCTGGGACAAAGTAGGATTTGAGCCAGGATGGATAGGCAAGAAGATACAGATGGGCTAGAGAGGCTTGGAAAGGGCTTGGGAAAATGGAGAAGAATAGCATATATAGGGAACAGTGGAGGGCAGAAGTATTGATATTTCTTCAACCAGTAAGCAACTACAAAACAACTCTGAGATACCATGTCCCAGAATAAGAACCATCAAGATCATTATTATGTGATAAACATACCAAATCTGTTATATGCTGTCAATACTTTCATTCTAGTATTTTGGTCAAGATTTCTTCTTAGTTAGGATTTCTATTGCTATGATGAAACACCATGACCAAAAGCAAGTTGAAGAGGAAAGGGTTTATTTGGTTTACACTTCCACATTGTAGTCCATCACTGAAGGAAGTCAGAAATTCAAGCAACGTGGGATCCTGGAGGCAGGAACTGATGCAGAGACCATGGAGGAGTGCTGTTTACTGGCTTGCTCCCCATGGTTTGCTCAGCCTGCTTTTTTCTTTCTTTTTGGCTTTCTTTGTGTCTTTCACATCATGCATCTCAATCCCATATATTTCTCAATCCCTTCATATCCACCCTCTGCCTTTGCAACCTATCCCCCAAAATAAAATAAAAATTAAGAGAAAAAAATTGAAAAAAGAAAGATTAAAAAAGAGGAAAAGTCAATCTCATCATAGAAGCTATAGTGTGGCACAGTGAGTCACACAGTAAGTCATATATCTTTACTTTCAATTGTTCATTGCAAAGAGTCATTGGTCTGGTTTGAGGCCTCTGGTTTCTGATACACTATTGATGCTGGGCCCTCACTGGACTCCTCTTGGATATCCTGTTGTTGCCCTGTGTCGTGGAGATCCTGCAGCTTTTTTTTTTTTAAAGATCTGTAGGACTGGCCCCTTCACATGCTCCCACAGATCGTGGGTGGTGTAAATGTTGGGGCAGGGCAACTCATAACCCTGGTTCTGGGCCTGGGGAGTTGCAAGGTTAGTCAACCCACCAGCTCTCTCTTGTCCTCACCATCCAGCATTGCCCTGGCTAGTTCATCGCTTGCAGCAATGAGCAAGGGGCGGGGCCAGTTCTCCTGCTGTCACATCCTGCTCAGGTTCAGCTCCCCTACACCTACACCATCAGGGCCAGCTCTACTGTGTTGCCCAGGCAAGGTGCCGGGACCACTCTCCCGAGTGCTGCAGCTGGTGAGGGGCAGGGACAGCTCTCCCACTCTTATACCTCAGGGCCAGCTCTTCCATTCACCTCAGGTGTAGAGGGGAGGAGGCGGCATCTCTTCCCTGTCCATGCAGCTATATGGCAGATGAGGGTTGAGATCTCCCATGCTCATGTTCTCCAGCTGGCTCAACCTCCCCCTTTGCCACTGCCACCGCCGCCACCGCCGCCGCCGCCGCCGCCGCCACCACACCACCACCACCACCACCACCACCACCACCAGGTTTGGCTCTGCTGTGCTGCCCAGGTGAGTATTGCAGCTGGTAAAGGAAAGGGATAGCTCCCTCGCCAGCTGGAGGTGTTAGGGGCGAGGGGGGAGGGTATCTTTCCCTCACCCCCAACTACTACATCGTAGATGAGGGAGGTGGTACCAGCTATGCCCCACTCCTGTCCTCAGGGCTGGCTCACCCATGCCCTTTTTACATGGTCAACTCTACTGTGGTGTACAGGTGAGGCACAGGGCTGTTCTCCCAAGTGCTGCAGCTGGTGAGGGTTTCGGTCAGTTCCCCTACCTGCTGCAAGTGGCGAGGGGCTAAGGGAGGCATCCTTCCCTCACCACATGGCAGGCACAACCTGCTCACAACCTCAGGGCCAACTCACCCTCGCCCCTGTGAGCAGGGTCAGCTCTATTATGCTACACCTGTGAGGTACAGGACCCTCTCTCCTGAGAGTTTCAGCAGGACCAGTTCTCCCTAGTGTTGCAGCTAGTGATGGGGTGGGCCCAAATCTGTAAAGCCCTATCCTCTTGGCCTTCAGTGGTATCAGGAGCCACAGACATCAATGCAGACCATGGCTCTATCAGGGCCATGAACCCAGACATGGGCAGGCTGCCAGACATCACCATCATTCAGTCTGCTTTTTTATAGAACCCAGGACCACTAGCCCAGGGTTGGCCCCACCAACAATAAGCTGGGCCCTCCCCCATCAATCACTAATTAAGAAAATGCCTTACAGCCGGATCATATGGAGGCATTTTCTCAGTTGAGGCTCCCTCCTCTCTGATGACTACAGCCTGTGTCAAGTTGATATAAAACTAGCCAGTATATTATCTTAAACGTAAATATATTTATTAACCTAAAACATAGACACACTTATTGAGAAAGAGGAAACATTTCTTAAATTATTTAAGCTTTGAAAGCAAACATTCTTCTATAACATATAACTTCTGCCAATATCACAAACTAGTGTTTTGCTGTTTTATTGTCCATTAAAGAGAAAAGCACCTCTGGCAATATCACTTTCTTTATTATCTTTGCAGGTGTTATCTGGAAGGCAGGATATTGAGTCATTGTCTCAGAGCAGAAAGAGAAAACATATACCAGCAGAGGTCTGCTCAGAGGTTTACAATAATATTCTATAGGAAAGTATAATTTTATAGCTAGAGTCTTTTGACCCAATTTTACAATTTTAGAAACTTTTAGGCCTATGGCAAAGTCATAATCTAATGATTTAGGTTTAAATTCAATAACAATCTCACATTTTTTTCTGCTTTCATAGGATATATTTTGAGCACTTCCCAATCTCCCCAAAGGATAAAAATATTTTCTGTCAAAATTACATTGTACATTGGACCCGGTGAGCAGTTAATTATGCAATTATAAACAAAGCTTATAATGAGGTGGGGCTTGGTATGTGACAGGGTTTCAATGAAGTAATTCTCCTGTCTCTTATTAGCTGTGACTTTGGAGAAGTGATTTCACCTCATTATATGTTAGCTTCTGCACCAGAAATTGAGAGGATGAAGTAATGGAAGAGCCTAATGAGTTGATTAATTGAAAGTTCACAAGGCAGTGCGTGGTCCTGACAGGAACTTGATGAGTGTTAATAATTTCTATTGACTATTGCTCTTGTGTTTGCTGGATCACTCTGCGACCATTCTCCTATGTGCCCAGAAATCCTGACCTGAACTCCTGCTGGGGGGATGTCCTAGCTAGGGATTCTATTGCTGTGATTAAACAACACGACTAAAGCAACTTGGGTAAGATAGGGTTCATTTCCTCATTCAGTTTGTAGTCCCTCAACCACCAAAGTCAGTGCAGGAGCTCAACGCAAGATCTAGAGGTAGCAACTGAAGAGGATGTGGAGTAACACTGTTTACCGGCTTGTGCCTCATAGCTTGATCAACCTGCTTTGTCATAAAGCTCATGACTACCTGCCCAGGGGTGGCACCCCTCCCTAGGATGGGCCCTCCCACGTTAATCATTAATCAAGATAATATTCCACAGACTTGCCTACTGACCAATATTATGGAGGCATTTTCTGAATTGAGATCCCCCCTTCTCCCAGATTCATGTAGCTATGTGTCAAATTGATTAAAAAAAAAAAAAAACACAACCAACCAGCAACAAGGGAGAGTCAGTCTTCCTATGCTGATAGCAGGTACTTAGCACACTTGTCCCTGTAGATTCCCTTGACTTAAGCTTGGAAACTTTACTTTGCGATGCATGAGATCATTCTGCAAAGAAAAGGAACACAAGTCAGTGTGTGTCTAGTCGAAAGCAAAGGCATAGCAGTGAACTTACAGGAGCAGCATTAGCAGGAGCCTAGCAGTGGTAGTCTAAGTTGTTAGACATCCTTCCTACACCTCTGAACCAGTTTTATCAGTGATAACAGTGGCCACTAAGAATGTCAAGCTCACATAGGCAGTATAATTTTTGACTTCTCTCATGGATAAGGCTTTGGAATCTGGTTTTCCAACCTCATTGCAATTTCCTTCACAGCCTTTTTTTTTTTTTTTCAGATTTAAATCTCGAATCATCCAGTGACAGTCAGGATTTGTTGCTTTCAATGCAGAACTCTGATTAATATAGAATTGGAACCAGAACATGTTTGTAAGCAGTAAGCCTAAGGGGAAATGGATGGTGAGGGCACACAAGGACTGAAGAGCCTGGAGGCAAAAAGATTCCAGTGAATATTAAAGATTTTTGGTAGTCAGTGGCATATGGTACTTGAGCCACTAATTAAATTATTCCCTGTGGTCATCTACAGTGAAAAAAAAAACCATTCAAAGCAAGGCCGTGAGAGCCCAGTGGCTGTTGCACAGTAGCATGAAAGGCATTCAATGGGTAGGACAGAGTTTTTCAAATTTATGGACATATTCAAAAAGGAGGACAGTGTGCTCAATTCTAAAATTCTTGGCTTAAGCCCGAGACTGTAAATAACAAAAATTTTTATGACCATATCAAAAGGAGGAAAATCCTATCTGCTTTTGCTGCACAGAGATGGGATATTGTAAACAAAATGAGCATAACCAGTTTGTGCTCATGAATTGCGTTGGGTGAATTCATTGCCCTGCTGACTTATTCTTTGTTATTTAGTTATTAATGTGTGTGTGTGTGTGTGTGTGTGTGTATGAAAGAGAGAGAGAGAGAGAGAGAGAAGGGAATGCATATGTGTACATTGGTATGTGTAGGCCAGAGATCAACCTTGGGTATTGCTCTATAGGCACTAGGCTCTCTGTCTCTGTCTCTCTCTGTCTGTCTCTGTCTCTGTCTGTCTGTCTGTCTGTCTGTCTGTCTCTCTCTCTCTCTCTCATTTCCAGACAGGCTCTTTCCTTGGTCTTTAACTCAGTGTGTAGGCTGGGTTGGTTGGCCCATGGTTCTCCCAGCTCCTCTTGTCTCTGCTTCCTCCATGCTGTGATTACAAGTTTACACCACTATAACTGGTTTTTTGAACACAGTTCTGGAGAGTAAACTTGTCTTTATGCTTCTATAGCAAGCACCTCATGGAATTATTTCTGGAGTTTTTACTTTGCCTTTTCTTTTAATCTTTACTTAGAAAATTATTGGTTTGTGTTTTTATTAGTGCATGGATTGCAAATGAAAAAAATGTCATCCAGATATGAAGATAAATAATTTCTGCTTTTCAGCACAGAGAGCAGAGACACTGATGGCTTAAGCATAGTAATTTAATCATCCAGGTGAACCCACATGTGCTCATGAGGATGTTATCTCCTTGGTGGTGATACAAATCCAACGAATGTGGCAAACCATGCATGTACCACATCTGAAAGTGATGAACCTGTTCAACAGCTCAGAGGGGTTTCTCTTTGCCATTACTTCACATCAAAGACTGGCCACTGTAATTCTCCCTTCTACATTCATGCTCAAGGTGAGGTCAAGGTCAATGGGAAAATGCTAAATCTGCTACCAGAAAATAAATTCTTGCTGGAAATACCATCAATTTGACACATTTTTGATAAGGTACCCTTGTTAGGATTGAGCTGTGTATGTTTACCACATAATAGAAAGTGTAGGGAAATGGGTATTGCTGTCTACTAATAAGGTCTGCCACATTGTGCTTAGGTACTTCGGTATTTCTGGAGTGTGTGGTTGGAGTTCATATATTTAAGAACTAGCAGACCCTTCATTTGCTTGCCTGAGCCATGAGACAGAATTACTGTGGTAAAGAGAGCCAGAGAGGATCCATGGAGCTTTTCTTTCTTATCAAGATAATGCACTGAAGCCAATATCTGATCCCTGGAGGAGGTAATCATCAACAAAGACTTGAAAGAAAGAAACCCAGGGCTCCTACCATGTGTTCCACTTCCTTTTCCTGTTAATGTGCAGCATTAATGGCTTGTCCCATCCTGTAGAAGAATTCTACTGCCATGATTCAACCTGTTGGCATAACCACTTTTAGATTTCACTGATAAGGTAGAACCCTGTATATATGTCTTCCTATATCTTCCCACTTTCATAGTTCATTTGTCTTACCAGGACTTCTAATGCAGTTGCTTTCCAATGCTTAACTATCTCCTTTTAGTGTGGTGCACTAATCCTTAAGGAAATGGTATGCTGTTCTGTGCTGTGCCATGGGACTTCAGAGGCAAACTTTTAAGTTCGTGTGCCAAGTACCTGTTCTTTAGGATTGAGGGTCCGATAAGCTAGTCATCTTTACATGTACATAAGTGCACATTTACAAGGATAATTCTAATACAGAACGGGCTTCTTGCTTAAAAGTCCTGTAGTTAGATACTTGGGGTTTGGTTTATTATGCCTCTAGTAAAATATAATACATTATTAATTGAATTGGTCACTGGGCCAGTCACAGTGGTCAACTTAATCCCATTAGTCTCCAAATTAAAAAGAGTGTGGTTGTGTTCAAGGAGAATTTAAGTTCTTTGGAAAGGATGTTGTGAAAGACAGTAGGAGACAAAGGAAGCCATGTCTTTCTGCCTTGACTGTAGAGGAAATGAAATAAATAATGAAACAAGCAAAAGACAACAACGGAAGCCCCAAACCCCTCTTCCATCCTACTTAGCTCTTTCCCCTGCAATCTACTTCTGAAGATTAGCTTGACAGTCTGTTACAGAATTATAGCACTGACCCAACTGCATTTCAAGATCTGAAGGATCTACAATCCAAATCTATGTGGACCTCTGTGTTTTATTTTGCTGTTGCATGTAGATTTGAGAATGCTTTGAACTGAGGTTGATGGGCAGTGTAGGGAGTATCATCCATAGGACTGTTCCCAAGCTTGGTTCATTAAAGCTCCTCTGCTCCCTAAAGCCCTATCTTTCCTCCACTGGAAACATATAGAAAATTAAAGGCTTTAAGGGTCTTCTTGAGGTTCCTTTTGTGACACAGGGTAGCTAAGGATGGTAAAAGCACATTACATGGCACGATTATCCAAATTAGCTCTTACTGAATTGAAATCCTGCTAAAACAAGTGTCATCTTCTTATTAAGCAGATGTTGTTATTATAGAATAGTTTCAATCAGGGATGAACCAGGATTGTAAGAGTAAGTCCAATCGATGAGGGGGAGGAGGGATTCTATGAGCAAAGGGCATCGAGATCATGATGGGAAAACGTACAGAGACAGCCAACCAAACTAGTGGAAACTTATGAACTGTGGACCAGTAGCTGTGGAGCCCCCATGGGACTGGACTTGGCCCTCTGGATACATGAAACAGTTGTTTAGCTTGAACTGTTTGGGGGGCCCCCAGGCAGGGGGATCAGGATCCATCCCTGGTGCATGAGTGGGCTTCTTGGAGCCTAGTGCCTAAGGTGTGACACCTTGGTGCAGGGGAGAGGGGCTTGGACCTACCTCAGCTGTAAGTACCAGGCTCTGCTGACTCCCCATGGGAGACCTTGACTTGAAGGAGGTGGGAATGGGGGGAGGGTTGGGAGGGAAGGCTGGGAGGCGGGAAGAGAGAGGAGAGGGGACCTGTGGTTGGTATGTAAAATGAATAGAAATTTTTTAAATAATAATAAAAAAAGGGGAAAAAAGAGTCAATTTGAGGACCAGGAAGAAAAGGGGAGGTGGTAAAGGTAAGAGGAGTACTGAGTGGGAGGAACCCAGTTCTGCTCTCACACACCCCGTCTCTTCCTTACCCCAACCTCAGCAATGACTGGCTGTGTGTATCAAATTTCCATCCACTTTTATTTAAGGAAAAGGTCCTGCTCCTTAAATTGCTTGAGGAAACTTGGGTAAGAGCACATCTAATGTCCATTGCAAGTATGAACACATCTAATGTCTATTGCAAATATGAACACATCTAATGTCCACTGCAAATATGAACACATCTAATGTCCACTGCAAATATGAACACATCTAATGTCCACTGCAAATATGAAATCAAGGGCTTGACATACCCACCACTTCTAATAGCAGAACTAACTTTTGGAAAATAGTAGACACCTTATTTGTATTAAAAATATTTGATGAATTTGGGCTATAAAATAAAATGTATACTTACGTTTGATTATATATTTAAAATTTCAAAATTAATAATTGATAGATACATAAAATATTAGGGCACACACACAAATCCCCCTTCTCCCTTGTTCCCCAAGACATAGCATTTTTCAAACAGCAATGACTCCCTAGTCTAACATTTCCAAGCAACATGAACTGGAAAATTGTCTTAAGCTCTTTATCCTTCAAATTCCTCATCTGTAAAATGAGGATGGTAATAGGATCTATTCAGTGTAATGAAAACATTGTAAGACATTTTAAACCTTTAGGGACGTGACAAGAACCCCGTAAGCGCTTACCATAAATGAAATTATATTATTGCTTATTTTGAAATGATTAAAGTCAATATTACATGTGTGACCATTGAATATTTGAATAACTAATTTATGCCATTGTATAAAGAGAAATGGGATGTCTAGAATAGCTCGAAGTAGAAAAACAGAAATGGAAAACAGATGGGAAATACCCGGAAAGAAATTTTTCTCGGTATTGCCCATCTGCCTTTCTCTGCCTGCATGCTTTGCAGTAAAATAAATTTCCAAACAGCCAAGTGATAGAATCCTCCGTCCAGTTTAATTTGTGTTTGCACTTCAGTGGCCACTGGCAAGGAGTGGTTAGATTTCAATTTGACAATCGTTGCCACATAGTCTTCATGCTTAGCCCACGAGAGGCAAAGCCATACAAAAGACTGAAATTAGTGGGAGGCGGTTGTTCTCCTTATTAATCAGTTCTGGACACATTTGGCAGCCTTCTTTTGTGACACAAGCATTATTCAAATCAAGGTGTGGAGGCTCTTTTCTTAAGTGTTATTTTAGTTGAAAGCATGCAACTCTTCTGAGAAGGTCACAACCTCCTTTGCCTAAGAATATGTTAAGATTAGTGTTTTTCATTTGAAAATTACACGGTTTTCCAAACGCGCCATCATTCTTCATTCTCTTATTAATTTAAACATACTTATTCACAGAAAAATAAATAGAACCCTATTTGATTTGGGAATTAAAGGCTAATGCATTCTCCTTCTAAATGGGAGGAAAGTCAGCATTATTTTGATTTCTTTTAATAAATGGCTGCGCATGCAGATCCAGATCACAAAGCAAATGATGGGGGCTCCTTTTAAAAGACAAGACTGAAATGTCGCTCCTGAATCCATTAAGCAGTTTATAGGTTTTTTTTTTCCAGAAATAAAGGTGGTTAGTTATTAAGTCTATACATCCCTAGAATAGATGTTCACTTTCCTGTTTTAGTAAACCAACTAATACAGACACTTTGGAATAAAAAGGAAAAGAATATTTTTTGGCTTATTTTTAATCCTTATTTTAATCCTTTAATAGTTAAAGGAATTGGGCTAAAGGCTTTTTTCTCTCTTTCTTCCTGTGTGGTTCTTGTTAGGAAATCTCTGCTGTGAACCTTCAGAAGTTCCAACTGAAGGTCTTGTAGTAGCTAATGCGCATGTCTTAGTTCCATGCCACATTGCTTGGGGTGGCACAGGATCCAGGTGAACAGTACTGTCTTCTTTAGACTTCTGCGGTCTCATGACAGAGTGGCATGGTACAAGGAGAAGCATACAAAACCAACAGGCGTCACATTTCTCCCCTTGCCAGGGCCAGACACATAGCAAGATGAATTGGACATAGCAGGAAACCATTGTCTCCCTGTTAGTGGGACTCTGGGAGTACCTTGCAGGCCTCACCACAAACAGCTGAAGAGAAGTCTTGTCCAAAGCTCTGTAGTGCTGACCTTAGCAATATCAGGTTGCTCATTCTTCTTCTAGGGAAAAAGGAAAAAGATCAAAGGAAAAGTTAAGCCTGGCTTGCTGGTGTACCCCTTGAATCTCAGCCCTTGGCAGGCTGGGACAGGACAATCAAGAGTTGGAGGCCAGCTTGTGCTCTATAAAAGAATGTCAGAAACAGACAAGCAAACAAATCAAAAGTCCCCAAACATATACAACAACAAAATAACAAAAGTTAAAAAAAGTTAAATTTGACCTTTTATCCTCTGGCCATGTCTAAATCTCTCTCATTAAGAGTGTTTGGGATTCTATGTCCTGGCTAGGGTACTTGAACCTTGTGTGAATAATTTGTTCATTAACTTAAAATTAGGAGAGACTGTCACATTATGTTCTTTGTTAATAAATCATCTGATGTAAGTGTACTTGCTGTTGAAGGTGTCTGCAGCACTCTAAGAGTTACAATGGGAATGCAAGGACTTTGTAATTCTTTCTGTATTACCTTTTTAAAATAATTCTCACTTCCACACAGACCAGGATGTGTTTTGATCCCAACTACAATAATATAATTACATCAATCCTCTCCCTTTCCTCCTTCCAAATCCACTCTTATACCTCTCCTTACTTTCTTTTAAATTTATGGTCTCTTTTTCATTATTTGTTGTCACATAAACACACACACATTCCTAAATACATAAATACTACCTGCGCAGTCTGTATAATGTTACTTGTATATGTTTTCAGGGTTGAGTATTTGCTGTTGGATAGCAAGTCAGTGTGCTTTTCCCTGGGGAAGACGAGTTCAACCACGCTCAGCATTCCTTAGTTGCTCGTGTTCTTTCTGTAGGACTAGGTTTCATGAGCTTTCCCCTGCCCACATTAACATTGTCTAATGGTGTTATCCTTGTTCAGCTGGTGTTTAGGAAGCCATAGTGGTGAGTATATATGGTGTAGCTTCTGACATTTCTTGGAGACATAAGCTCACGGCAAACTCCCTGTTCCTTACAATTTTTCCACTGCTTCTTTTGCAATGATCTCTGAGCCCTAGGTGCAGAAGTTGTGATGTAGACACATCAACTTGGATTGGACTCCAGAACTCTGAATTTGTCAGTTTTGTGTAGTGGTCTCTGTCTATTGCAAAGATAAGTTTTCTTGATAAGTGGCGAGTACTACACTCATCTGTTGATATAAGGACACATATTTAGAATGTAGTTAGGGACTATGCAGGTTTAGTAAGGTGGTGGTTGGTTGTAGTATCTCTAAGATCTATGCCTTCATTAATCCTGGGTAGTTGTCAAGTATTCCAGTACCAGACATGATTTCCCTCTTGTTGAATGGGTGATAAGGCCAATTAGACAGCTGTTGGTTACCACCAAACTATGTGTGCCACTACTACACTCAGGGTTATCATGCCATGCTGGTCATTGTGGTTCATAAGTTGGCTGTGCTGTTGCTTGCTTCCCTCCTTTGGAAGTCTGTAAGGTATCTTTTGGTACCAGGAAAGCTAGTTATTAGGGAGGGGCATTCAGGTCATTGACAGCTGGGAGGCCTGGGTCTTATGTACAAAATGCATGATGTCTGTGGTGATGTATAGTGTCCCCCAATATACTGTGTCTTCCAGTAAAATTTACCTGAAGTTCAGAGGAAAAAGCCAGCCACTATATTAACATAGAACTCAGGCAATGGTAGCATATGCCTTTAATCCTATCACTTGGGTGGCAGGGATCTGTCTGGATCTCTGTGAGTTCAAGGCCACACTGGGAACAGAGCCAGGCATGGTGATACATGCCTTTAATCCCAACACTAACCATTGAGGTCTGGGGGTCTGTATAGACAGACAGGAAGTGACAGAACTGGGCAGGAAGAGGAAGTGTTATAGCTGGGCTGAGAGAGCAAATGAGAGAACAGAACAGAAAGGCATATAGGTGTGTGTAGACAGGAAGTAGTTTGCTTTGGAAGTTGCTGTGGAGTTGGTGAGGTGAGGTTAGCTGTGGCTTTTCCTATTTCTCTGATCTCTCTCAGGCTTTAATCCCAATTTCTGGCTCCGAGTTTTTTTTTTTTTTTTTTTTTTTTTTGGTTTTTCGAGACAGGGTTTCTCTGTGTAGCTTTGCGCCTTTCCTGGAACTCGCTTTGGAGACCAGGCTGGCCTCGAACTCACAGAGATCCGCCTGGCTCTGCCTCCCGAGTGCTGGGATTAAAGGCGTGCGCCACCACCGCCCGGCGAGTTTTTTATTAATAAGACTGTTTAATAATTCGTCTACAGGTGTCTTCAGCAATAGGGATTTACCTTCTACGTCTTGTGGGCAACCAAGGGCAATAACAACAGCAATAGCCTAAAATATTTTGGGAGTCTCTTGGACAACTATGACAAGTCAAAAGAGAGCTGCTCATGTCTGGTACTGGGGTTTTCATAAAGTTTCAATAATATGTTCATTTCTTCATTTTATTTATGTTTTGAAGCTAACTAATAAAGTCTATCTCTTTTTATTTCTAGTTTTCTCTATTTCAAGTTCAGAATAGTTTCTCATAAATTCTAGATTTCCTAATAGGAGTTATTTTAAAGTTTCTGACATGAATATATGCATATTGCTTTAGAGGTTTTAAATTTCACAGAAATACATTCATTGACAAAAATCTCATTAGTAATATTTCCATTCTTATATGTAAACATCAGGAACAATTAGGTATATCCAAGTATAATTGTATAGTTCTCATTTTTTTTAAATGTAAAAACACCCACTGTTTAGTAAATTTTAAAGAAAATTGTGTATCTTTACAAAATTCCTGTGTCTATAACTCTCCTTTTTATGCTGGCTTAACATCCTATGGGAAGGACAGATCATAATTTATTGAACTATTTCCAACTGACACATCCTATATGCCTGGCTTTTACTACTATATACATTCCTGCAATCATCATCCTTATACCTACAGGGCATTTTTGCAAATATAGGCTTTCTTCTTTGAGCTCCTAAAGAGGGGAGTTGTGTTCTTCAAATTAGCCCAATTAAGGTGCAAGAAAATTAAATATGGCAGCAAAAGACTATCAAACTCGAGAACCTTTGAAACCAGAGAACCCCAGAATCAGAAAACTGGTACTCAGAATAAAGTGTGCTACTCAGGCAAGAGAACTCTGTGCTGGAGGCCATCACAACAGATGTTAAAAATGAATGAAAGCACTGAGGGGGAAATGCTGATAAGAGCAGAGCTGATGGTGGTGAAAAATGGACTGCTGAAGCAGAGCTGTGAGCCGGGTGGATGCCATCCATGGTGGGTGCAGGAAGTAGTAAGAACTGCCATAAGATAAGAGCTAATAAGGCTGAGGGTAAGCCATCACAGGAGAAGCTGGAGTGCAGACATTGATTCTTTTCCTTTTGATTGACACATAATATTTGCACATATTTATGAGGTATGATGTGAAGTTTTGATGCATATATGCATTGAATATGCACGGATCCTTAATGAAATTCTACTTCTGTGTCAGCTAGGCTGTGAGCCTTTTCCTCTCACCAAAGGTTATATAACTACTCATGCTTTCCTTGCTGTTTTCTTGGGGTGCAGTGGGTGCAACAGTATGAACCCACCCAAGTTCTTTGTGATGTTTTACATCCATTACTTATTTATAAATCAAATGTGAACAATTCACATTGGATAAATATGAGCTGGGATGAAACAGACCATGTTGATGAAACAAATGATTCTGCAAATAGAATAATTGGTCAAAGGCGCCACATGTTTTAAATATTGCATGAATTGAATGAAATTTATACACTGTAGATTCTTCAGGAATGTTTTCCCAAATGGTGTTGGTAATTTTAACCACAGGTTCTGAGAATGTCATTCTGCATTTCTTCCTTTAGCAGTGTGGATGGTTAACTTTTAAATATTTGATTAATTTATTTTACTCATTATAGTGAAAATAGCCACTTCATTAATATTTCTGAGTCAGCAGGAGAAGAATATGTATCTTTTATCTTATGAACCACATGTTAATCTTTGCTTATTTTTCTATTGAATTGTTTTCTGTCTTCGTAGTTTATAGACACTTAAAAATAACTGTATGTAAATGATGTGCCCATTAATTATTCAAAAACATCCCCAATAATCCTTGTTCTGTAATTTAACTTTATATGTTATTTCCAAAACAAATTTCACATATTTATGTGGAAAATGTCACTAGTTTTCCCCTAGTTGTTATAAGCTTTTTACTTTGTCTGCTGCTCAATTATTAACATATTCATTTGTATAGTTTTGTCTATTTTTGAGAATGTATTTTAATTACAGCATTTCTCTCTTTCCTGTTCACTTATATTTTAATATGCTTTTGAGGTTTTAATGTGCAGATACTAGAACTGGTCTATTTTTATTTATGTAAGTTATATAATGATATTCCAATTATCATAATGATTTCTTTTGCTCAATAAATAATCAAAACTAACATTGACATTCCTTACCCAGTAATTTACAGATATTTCTAAATTGTGATATCTACTCTTTAGTTTACCTTTTTCCAAATTGCTAGAGTGTCAATGACTTTTTCTGTTCTGTAAACACACACGCAGACTTGTTTTAGTTATTTGCAAACAGTTTTATTTCTTTTTAAATTATTTAATTAATTAGTATAATTTATTTTTTAGGTTTAATTTTTAATTGAAAATTCCCGCAATATATTCTTAACTTGATTTCTCCTCCCCAATCTCCTCCCAGATCCTTTGCATCTTCCCACCCATCCAGACTCTACACCTTCTTTCTCTTTTTTAGAAAACAAACAGGCAAATAAAAAAGCAAACAAACTAGAATAAAAACAAACAAACAAATAAATAAACAGTAAAGAGACACAAGAAACACACACATAAGAAAACCCGTGAAAGCACAAAATTAAAAAAAAAAACATAATATACAAGCAAAAGTCCAGTGAGATAAAAATGCCTACACAAAGCAATATGAGACAAAAAATTCTACAAAAGCACCATTAAGTTAGTTTTCTGTTGGGCAGGGGTCTACCTATCATTAAGGATACTTTATATATACAGTGAGACTC